GTTTTCTACAATTGAAGTTTGAGTTCCTTAGGAATGCGCCTGAGACAAGGATTTAGGAGTAGCAGTGATCAACAGGCAGTGGACATTTCTTCTGGGTCCCCAAATGTACTGATAGAAGATGACACTGAAAGCCTTGGGGGCCTGCAGGCAAAAGCCCCCTGCAGGGACTCTTGTTCATAGACAGAAGCATCCATGTCCTTGTGCTCTTCCTGATTCAGCCGCCCTGGGTGCTGTGCCCAGGAAGGTGCTTCTAGAGATGGTACCTTAGGGGTTAATTACTCCCTCATATGTCATATCCTCTGATGCTCTATTTCTTTCTTCTAGCCTGTCTTTAGATGGTAGACAGAGAAGATCTAGAACAAAAATGTCAGGATATGTTGATCATTGATTGATCACTTTTATCTGGGAAAAAATGCAGAGCAGCACTGGGACATGCACATAGAGACGTGGTAATATCGCCTCCCATGGAGGAGGGAGCGTGCCTGGTCAGGAGACAGAGCTGCGCAAGTTATTTCAGTGGAAAGAATTGCTATGAAGACATATCTGGGGAGGAAAAAGTTTTTCCTCCATCCTCTTAGGGTCCCTGGTTGGGTCTGAAAATTAAACTGACAAAGACGGGAGAAAAGCTTTCAGACTTATCTAGTATATTTGTTACATGACACAGAAAACCTCATCAGGAAGTAAAGCTCTGAAAACGCAGGTCACTGGAATATTTTTATACCAGGTTCCGTGAAAGGTGGTAAGTTGGCAGGAAGGTGGTAGGTTAGGGATTATAAAGTAAGTGCAGTAAACTAAGGGAAACTTCTCAAGGCCTCTTGGGATTCTTCTAGGTGTTCCTTTGGAGATAAGGATGGTCCTTTCCTCTGGGTACTTTCCTAGGGAGGGCACCTCTCACGTGAGGGTTCTATGACCTGTTTTAGAGGAGAAGGCCAGGGGAAGGTCAGAGTGAATTTATTAATTTTTTTTCAAGATTTATTTATTTATGCATACAAGAACTGGGGTACAGGCCAGGGGTGTGGGAAGGTGAGAGGATTCACCGGAGACAGAGTGGGGAGCAGAAGAGTCAGAAGGACCGAAAATCACTGCTGAGGGGAGCAGCGGGCGAGCCAGGAGAGGTCTGCCGCACCATGTGGGTTGCTCCCTGGCTGGCCGGGGATCAAACTCGTGCTGCAGAGGCCTCCGGATAACTTCATAGTGCTGTGCTTAACCCCTTGCACCACCAGGGAGGCCCCGATCAGAGTGACTTTAATGCTAATGCTGCTTTCTCATACTCCTTCAACTTCAAACATTAAATATACCAAAGTGCCGTATTTTGTAGTAGCATGTGCTGGATGCCCTCACCTGTTACCAGGTGCTGGGCAACCTAAGAAGTGCTAAGACATTTTCCCCTGTAACTTGAGTCGCAGAGGTAATAAACGGCAGAAAACAGCTATACCTCTGGAGCTGGGGGAACAAAGGGAAGAAGTGAGGAAAATGAAAACTTAAAAGGCATAGGTGGTGGGCTTTACAGGGTCGGGGGGACCCCAAACCTCAGAGATGGGGCATGTGCTGCTGATTGTGCTGTCTCTGAGTGGAGCAAGAAGAAATGGGCTGGGAACACAGATTGCTGCGTGTTGTCCATTGCTCCTAAAGGGACAAATTGCTGCTGCCATGGCGAGGTTAGCTCTGGGGCCATGCTGACAGAATAGGGGGTAAATAAGTGGCAGGTTTCTTCTCATCCTGCCTACAGCCCTGTGGTGGCATCCCCAACTGGCAAACCTTAATAAGGATGCAAACTGGCCAAGGAGACTTGTAATTTGCTGTCCCAGCCCCAGCATACAAAGCAGGGTGAACTTGGAGGTGAGAGACAATTAAAAACCAATATGTGTAGAAAAAGCAGGCACATGTGCATGTACACAAGAGAGAATGAGAGACAGGGGAGAAAATGTGAGTGAGTGAGAGAGAGCAAGAACAAGAATTTATCCAAGAATGGGTTAGGATAAGGGGCATGACTACTCACTAATGAAAATAATCATAATAATAGCCTATATACAAGAACTTGGTTCAGGAGAGAAGAAAAAAAGACCCTTATTTGGCTTGGGGCATGGTGGTGATTATGTCCTAAAGTCAGGGCATTAGGGGAAAATCACATATGAAGACTAGACTCACACACAAATACGCTGAGAGTCATTGAGATGAGAAAACATATCTGTGTGTGTCATTTCATGCTCATTCTGTGACCCACATATGCTTTCTGAGTGGATGTGGGTGGAAAACCTCTCCTCTCCTCCATTTATATTAATGCTTTCTCTCCCTCCTCCTGCTTTCTCACCAAACACAGAGAGAGGGCATCTTGTAAGTTATGTGCACATGCCCTACAGCTTGACCTTGAATTGGGCTTCCCTGGTAGAGCAAGGGGTTAAGCACTGCACTATGAAGCAATTTGCATCCCCTGCAGCATGAGTTCAATCCCCGGCCAGCCAGGGAGCAACCCACATGGCACAGCAGACCTCTCCTGACTCTCATGCTGCTCCCCTCAGCAGTGTATTTCAGTCAGTCTGCCTGTTCTGTTCCCCACTCTGTCTCTTCTCACCCCCCGCATCTCTGGCCTGTGGCCCAGCTCTTGTATGCATAAACAAATAAATCGTTAAAAAAAATCTTGACCTTGAATCATACCAGGTGTGTGCTAAGCATTCTATCTCATAAACTATATTACTGGATGATCACACTGACCCTAGAAATGATATAATGCCTCCTTAAACTAAAAGAGATCGGACGCATTGGGACTAGTGTTCTGGAGACATAGCCAATGAATGATGCGACTTGAATCTTAAACTCAAGAAATTCTTGCTCCAAATCCTATGCTGCTTAATTAGCTCCCACCTTTGATGTTCTACTTTGACTTTATGTTTTGGGCAAATCTTGCAGGAGCCCAAATCAAAACAAGGGGCCTCAGACCTAGGTGAGGACTGAGGTACAATGGATTTGTCTTGTTCAATATGGCAGCCACTGGACACATGTGACTGCCTAAATTTAAATTAATTGAATGAATCAATTTAAGATTTACATGATCAGTCACACTAGCCACATTTCAAGAGCTTAGTTGATGCCTGTAGCTAATGATGGCTATATTAGAGAGCACAGAATATCTCCCTCTTCACAGGAAGTTCTCACAGAAAGAATCATGGTGAGAGTCTGACTAAAAGGCCATTAGCAAACCTAGCTCTGCACTTATTAGTCTGTCTGTGGGCAGGTTATTTATCTCCTCTGTGCCTCAGTTGCTACCACTGTAAGATCCGGGCATTCCAAGCAGCTCCTCATGGGATCCAGATGAGGGTAAAGTATGTTTGTAAAATTCCTAGCATGGTACCTGGTACATCTTGAGTCCTCAACGCATGTTGCCTAATGGGGGAAAAGGTCTCTTAGCTCTAACACGATGTGATTTTTAAACTACTATTTCCACTCAACCCCTGGTATTTCTGTTTGGGGAAGACAGGAAGGAATTGAAGCAACTGAAGGAGTTGCTTGATAATTTATATTTAGGGTGCTCCTGGAGTCAAGAAATCCTATGTTCACTCTCAAGATTATTTTATTTTAACATATTTCTGTCACTAATACCATGTGCTAGGTTCTGTCTAAGAACCTAACACAGTCCCTCATTCAATCCTCCAAAACAGGCTTCTGAGATTGGTATTCTATACTCTTATTTTCAAAACTCTTTATATTTCTATACCTTCCACATTTTATTTTAATAAGCCCTGTAGGAGTGGTGGAGGAAGGACAAGGAAGACAGGGTAGGATTTTATCCTTTGGAAGAGACTAAAGAAGCAAATAATCCTAAGAGGGTATATTGTGCCAGGCTAGATATTTGGTGTGTATTATTTAAATTAATGCAACGACCCTCTAAGAGAGGTGATATTCTTCTTATATCGGAGCTATAGAAACACACTCACAAGGTTTAGAGAGTAGACCAGCAGCATGCAGATAGTTCAGGTTAAGAACTGGGATCCTAACACAGGACTGATTCCAAGTCCCCTATGATTCTCACTGCATGTTGATGTCAACTAATAGGGAAGATAATACATTTTCATGCTTAATTAAATATAGTACACAGCAGAAATAAAAGAAAATAGATATATTGTCCTAGGAGTTAAGAGGAGGCAGGGACTGCTCCCAGCTGAGGGGCTCATGAAAACATCATTGAACAGGTAGCATTGGAAAGTGGCTTGTAAGTGGGTAGGACGGGGGCAGGTGGGTCTGTGGAAAGAAGGTTCAAGACAGAGGAAGGAGCACAAGCAAAGACTCAGGCAAGATGCGGATATCAAGAGTAGCTTACAGTGATGGGCCAAGGAAGGGGAATCTGCCCAGCTGGGAGGAGTATTTTGTCACTGACATTTTTTAGAATGCCCAAGACCTGGTTAAAGTGGAGAGCAGACTAACTCTTAGTTTTATTGTTTCTTTGATAGTCTCAATAGATATGTGCCCTCTTAATGAAGTGGACCTGGGGCAGACCAACCCTGGTTCATTTGGCTTCTTTTCTCTTGAATGCTTTCCTCTCTGCCTTTCCTGGTAGCACTCCGACTGCCCATGATTCCCAGCCCTGCTACCTATGCTGTCTGCCAGGGAGACAAGTTCTATGAAGGACACGGAGGGAGCCCGGGGCTTCCCAGGAGTGTTGGCAAAGGAGGGTGACCTGTGGAGGCAGGTGTCCGTCATGCTGTAGCTCTGGAGTTCTGCCCCAGACAGGAAGCTGACTGGGCTAGAAACTTTCTCCAGGATATGAATAATGCTTTCAAGTCAACCAGCCATGCTAGATTGAACCATGGGCGTGGAGCACGGGTCTGGAGGAATCTTCTTAGCGACTTTTGGCGGGAAATTGAGAGTGGGCTGATGTGAAGATTGAAGTCACTAAAGAGAAGACCAGGCGGTCTTCTGCCCTTTCCCTGACTGTCACCCTGGGGCAGAGGATGAAGGAGGACCTCCTGCTAATTTTCAACTGCATTTTGCTCTCTATTATGTAGTATTTCAATGACAGGATCCTCCACTCAGGAGAGCTGGGGCAAGGCTGGCTGAGGTGCTCAAGGAGCTGAGTTTGAGTTCAGGTGACCACCTGGCAGTGGAATGATGCTTCCTCACCTTCCAGACATTTGAAACTTCTGGGCAGTCTTAGAAATCACTTCAAGCCTCCAATCCAGGATACAGCTGCCTAGGGAAAATCCCAGGGAAAGGTGGCAGGTAGAGTATCCATTCTGAGTCTTATTCTCTCTCGCCCTCCCTCCTCTCCCTTTCATGTGTCTGTATTGCTCTGTTCTGTCTCCTTCGCCTCGACATTCGATAGACCAGTGATGCCAGGGCATTTATTTTATGTTCTTGTCAACAGAGATGTCATGGAACTGAAAGGCGATGGATACCTCAGTGAGCTCACTACGAGATCTCAAAGATTCCAAGTCACTGGCTGCTCCAAAGCATAAAGCCACCCTCCGAGAGGCGGCAGGAAGCAAGTCTGGAGGAGGTGAGGAACCATCATTCTACCCTCTGCCCTTGACTCCATCAGCCATTAGCTAGCAGATGGTTGGGGCCCAGGCCTGATGGGCTTTTTCCTGTGTCCTTCCACAGGCCCCAGGTTTTGGCCAGAGGATGGACCACCTTCTGGTGCCCTGGGGAGCTGCTGAAGGACAGTGAGGAAGATGCTGATGATCCCCAGGACAGAAATTCCGTAGCAGGAACGAAGAAGCACCTTGAGCCCAGCCCCCCTGTAAACAGATCCTCTCTGAGCTGTGCTTCTGAACTGGACTGTTTTTGCTTGACCATCTCCTGCACAACACGCAGTTCTGGATGCTTTTATATGGTTGCCTTTCTTTCATTTCTCCTTTCTTTTCTTTTTCTTCTCTTGGCCTTGGGAATGACCAGAAAAGAATTGCTTTAGAAAGTGTAATTCTGTACTGAAATTAACCTTGCTTAGGAACAAATTCTGTCCCTAAGGATTTTTTGAATTGCAATCCCAGGTTACCTAGTAAATGGGGCTGCATGGTTTGATTTGTGTAGGACTGATCCTCAGATTAAAAATACATTTTCTTTCTTTCTTTTTAAGTGTGGATCCAGGTAATGGCCCGAGTCACATTTACTTAGCTGCTGAAGCGATCTCAATGTGGTATCGCTTGGAGTTGAAATATAATCAAACATATATTATACCTGAGGCTCTTGAACACTATTTGATATATATGTTATGCTACAGAGAAACACAAACTTTGTAGGTTGTAATTTAATTCCTGTCTGATCCTGCAGCCAGAGTGGTGGAGAAATTATAAATATCAAAATTGGCTTCAAATACCCTGAATATAAGCTAACCAACTGTGCGTGGATGGCTTCAAAATGCCATTTCTAGGGCAAAGCAGGAATTGGACACCTACTGAGCTCATCAACAGTGTTGCCCAGATCTGTCTGTGGATCTGCCCATGGTGGAGAAACTGGAGAACAAGGCATGCTTCTGTGCTTGGGTTTATGGAAATTGTGGCATTTCTGACCTATGTTCTGTAACTGTGCCTGCCTTGCAATAAAATACCTTCAGTTGACTCAGCAACAAGGTCTCTTGTCAATTTCCGGCAATATGGTGTCCTCAGTGATTTTCTAAGAAAGCTGCGGGTAGAACTGGGAGTGGGGGACCTGCCAGAGATCCCAGCTGGATCCAGCATTACTCATTGCTCTTTGAGAAATGTCACTAGAGCTATTTGTTGTCTATGCATGGGGTCAGAGTCTGTGTTCATCCTCTCTTCTCTTCACATTAGGTCAACTACAGCCCCCTGTAGTCTAGCATAACTCTGTCACACCTGTGTGCTGTCACCTGCCACCATTCCCTAGTTCTGGAGTCCCCATTTACTTCTGTGAGACTCTAGGACAAGTCACTGACTCTCTGAAATTCATTTTTCTCATCCAACGGAGACATGACACTCCCCATGGTGATGGTGACAAATGCCTGTCAGAGGATATGACGTGGGGGCACTTTCCACATGGAAAATGTATGGGATGGGGCAATGTTCAATTAATGTTGTTTTATTTCTTAATAAACAATTGAAAGAACTTTTGAGTTCCTTGTACTTGGCCTTTATTTGAGAGCACTGAGGAAACTCTGAGTAGCTTCTTAGGCTTTCTGTTTAAAGCCACTAAAAGAAAGATGGAGGTTTATGGGACAGACATGAGAAGAGAATCTGATACTCCCTGCATTGGCCAAAAACCTCCACATCTTATTTCCTCTTCCTGTGGAGTAGGGAGGATGTTTTACCTCCTTCACAGAGATGACACTATTGCTTTTACAGAAGATGAACTTCACCTGCACACAGATGCGTGCGACACTACCTTTCCCAGCTATTGACACCTTAGACTCATGCCATTGGAGGGCATACCGGTCTCCCACCATCTTCCTCTAAATACCCTGGGGAAGAATTCAACCTCATCAGGCTGCATGGTTCTAGAGGAACCATTATTGAGGAGACCACAGCATTCCCCCTCAGCACATCTGAGATTTCAGGATGATCAACATGCAAAGCAAAGGCAAGAGCTAAGATAATTCATTTCATCTTAGATAAATCATTTCATATTGGGTGCCAAATGAAATAGTTATGGCCTGATTGCAATCACAGGCAGAATAACCCCATAGATATTATTATCCTGGGCCTGCAAGCCATGCCCAATAAAATGAACATTTTCTACTTTCTACCTTCTACTCATGAAAATCACAATAATAGCAAATAGTAATAATTATTAAGTACTAGTATACACTGGGCACTGGGCAAATCCCTTGGTAACACTAACTCATTTAATTACCACAATAACCTGTGAAGTGGGAGTTCTCATCTCTCATTACTTGGATGTGAACCTGAGGCAAATGAGGAGGCCATGGCTGGCGAGAGGCTTAGCTAGAGTGAATGGGTGCATGCGAGGCTCTCAGGCCACAAGTGCTGTGGTATCCATTCTCCTCCCAGCTGAGAGAAGTCTCAAGACTGAAGAGAACTGGTCTCTAAAAACCCCAATTCCCTCATCCTTTTTGTGAACCCCTGAGGCACTTCGTTCTACACTGGCTCTGAGTTCCTTGGTGAGGTGACTCTCCAATTGTCCATGAGGTAACTCATTTGCTAACTCACTTTTTTTGGCTGCCTTTCCCTCCCTGCCTCACACTCACACTTCTCAGCCAGTGATTTTGACAATGGCCTTCTAATAGTTGCTTTGCACATTAACTCCTGATCTAGGGTCTTACCCCTGAGCGGGGCCCAAGTCAATGACAGTGTTGCAAACTAATGTTACCACAATAAAAGAAAAATACTTCTGGTGCTCACCAATTCTAGAAATAATCATGTCGCAGAGAAGATCCAGCAATATCCTTCAATCCTAAACAGGTTTTCTCCTTGTCCTCCGCTACGTTAGGAGCTGGGAAGGAGACCTTCTAAATCTGAGACCCACTTGCTAGAGAACGATTGCCTTCCTGTGAAACAGGCACCTCCACAGGTTAGGAGATATTTTTCCTTTAAATGAAAGACTCAACTAACATATGAAACCAGGCAAGAGTCACCTGACGGCAAATCAAATTACCATTCACTGGCGAGACAAGTAATTAAATCTAAGGGGGTAATGGGAAAAGGAGAGAGTCATAATCCCAGAGCCCCCCTTTCACCTCTCAAGGACTCCCATTTGCCTTTGAATCACTTCTGCTTCAATTAACATTGATTGAGCCCTCCTGAAGTGCCTGGCTCTTGTCAAATCCCATTACTAGAGGCTCCAAGATACACTCTGTCCGCAAGTCTTTGTTGTGTGGGGACATTATTGTGGGAATAGTGAATGTTGTGTGGCGTGGTAGCTAGCACAAGGATCAGGGCTGTTAGACACATGGTTTGCTTTTTCTGGCAGGGCAGTTTTGTAAACGGGATTTTGTCTTTGCTATTATCATTATCAACTTGAACCAATTCTCTAAATTCAAGTTATGATGCTCTAAAAAGCATGTCAGACTGACCCACTACCGCTTTTAAAGATAAATGTTGAAAATGTCAACCCCATAAAGTAAGAAAATGTGCCTGAATCTCTGTTATAGGTATCACGCACTTCATTTTTTTTTTTTTTTTTTGTTGTGAGTGGAGAACAAACACAAAAAAACCCACATCTATTCTATGGGGTTCCCAGCAAAGGCATCCATGTTTATTTTATCAGAGATATAGATGGAACCTGAGTACAACTATCAGAGATGGTCTTACCTCTTGCTCTCACTCTTTACTGTGGTCTTGGGGGGGGACGTGCTATATTTTTTGCATAGTTGTCTTCAATTTGTGGCCCAAGTCAAGGCAGTCTTCATATCAGGGATCTACTCCACCTGTACTGAAAAGCTATTGAAGGAGATGGTGGAAAATATTTAGTATATAGATTTCCTACTGAATTTTAGTTTGTTAACAGGATTGTGCACCCAGCCCCGTGCTTACATGGAAAGGAAAGAGAAATCCAGCCCCATCCTAGGATGCATATTCTGATGTGTAAGGACAAGGTTCCTATTAGGAAAAACCCAGGGAATAAATTGTTCCCCGGATCTTTAATGACCGAGGATCTTTTATGTATGAAAACACTACTCTTGATACCTTTTTAATGCTCATATTTTTAATCTTATTAATTATTCAAAATTTTCATAAATACGTGAATGTTTCTTTGCCATCAATAAATCAAACCAACTATATGAATCAAATCATTTTAAAATTTTAAATTCTGATTACAAATGCAAGCAGGCATCTATTCCTAAATATTTCAATAAAGTCTCTACCTATTTCATTTAAAAGCTTCACAAACTTTAAAAGTGAGATGGTGGACACTCACCCACAATCATGAGAAGATTCAAAATGTTTTCTACCTACACTTAAAAGATGAAGAACTATTTATGCTATGGTTTTGATTTATGTTTTATGTTAGGATTTTGATAGATTGTTTTATACCTTTGTGTTTTAAATATACTTTTTAGTATTTATACTTTACTAGAGTTACAGTAATCTTGCCAAGTTTGAAAGAAAAAAAGAATATAGTCTCATCAGACTAGGTGAGTTTACAGATTCTGGGTTATCAGTCATTCAATTTTTGGTTGGCACATGGGGTCTTAGGAGATCTCTACAAAGTTTGCTCCTAACTATTCAGTTAGCTCCTATTCATTTTGACCTATTCAGTTAGCTCCTTTTTAAATTTATTTTTAAAGATTTTTTTATCTATGCATAGAAGAACTGGGGTGTGGGCCAGATGTGCGGGGGTGGGGTGTGTATGTGAGAGGATTCACCAGAGACAGAGTGGGGAGCAGAACAGGCAGATTGACTGGGATACACTGCTAAGGGTAGCAGCAGGCAAGACAGGAGAGGTCTCCTGTGCCATGTGGGTAGCTCCCTGGGCGAAGTGGTGACAGTGCTGAGATTTAATCCCTAGGCAACCAGGAGACCCTTGGTTAGTGCCTTCTTTTACTCCCTTGGGTCAACTCTGACTGCTTATCAGCTGTAGATCTCATCTAGAAAAATAAATATTGAGAAGTACAGGACAGTCAATACAAACCAACAAAATTCCATAATTCATGGAGAAAAAAACGTTTTCCCTATGAATAAATACCAGTTAAATTTCTTCCAAAAAAATCTTGGGAGGGGGGAAATTTTTCACATAAAAAAATTTTGTCTTTTAACCCAAATTCTGGAATCTTGATTTTATTTTAAGGTTGTCTCCCTTTACATGACATCTGTTCTAGCAGGAAGTCTAGCTTCCTAAGTGTTTAAGCAAGTGCCAGGTATGCTGTCACTTCAAGATGAATAATAAACAGCCTTAATAAATGGATGTTGTGGTTGACATTAATAAGACATTTGCAATCCTGCAGGAAGAATCATGCTGCAAGATAAATAGATGCATTTATTTATACTATTGTTAGGAACTTGAACTTACGACACATAGAGCAGGTGTTCAGTTTATTTTGGAGCTACCTGACAAAACTCCTTTGTTTTCCTATTCCTCTGTCTGTCCCCCAAGTATAGATATTCCTCACTTCCTTCTGTCTTTATTCCTTGACCTCTGTATTTTTTTTTAATCGGTGAACTCTTCCACACACTTAAATTATTATCTCTAGAAGGGATGATTTCATGGTCCAGCTTACACTCCCCACCCCCAAATTGAATCTTCATTTCCAAAGGACTGTAGGACATTTTTATCTGCCTGTCCTTTATGCAACTCAAACCTCTTGCCTCTAAGCAGGATTCAGTGATTCCCCTTCCCAACCCAACTTATCCTTATTTTCCCTTCTCCCTGAATAGAAGCTACATTATTTGCTTCACTTAAATCTCCCTCTTTTATCATCCCAGACACCCACAAGATTTCGCCTGCAGTATGTCTCTCTGACATTGATATCTTAATTTCATCTTCTACTGACAAAACTGTATCTCAGGTACCCAATGCTGCCATTCAAATGATTGTTAAAACCTTTTAACTGATTTTCTCATTTTCAGTCTCTCTCCAAGGCAATTCATCTTAAATATCACTGCAACACAAAATTTCCCAAAGATCATGTCACTTGCCCTGGTCTAGAATCCTTCATGACTCCTAGTATGTAATGAGATATTTTCAAACTCTTTATCCTGCCATGTCAGATTTTCCAATACACAGCCCCAACTTACTTTCTCACTTTTCTCTCTCACTATTTATGAATCCTCTCGCTCCATTGTGTAATATCAATCTTTAAACATGCCTTTAAATGCCATCTTTTGTTTGTGTTATTCCTCTTTCTTCATACCATCTTCTCCCTTCTCTACCAATTAAAATCAAACATGTTTTCTAAAGATGCCTAGGAAATGCCACATCCTGAGATTTGTTTGATTTACCCCAATCAATGTTATCTTTTCTTCCTTTTGATTATTATGTTCTCTATGGAACTTCCACTTCTCACTTGTGCCTATACCAGATGGTTGAGATGATGTAGAACATTATTTCATGAGTCCTGACCTCCCGAGTCTTACTCTTCATCTGAATGGGGGATATCTGAGATAGACACTTCTGTAATCCATCAAATATTTGAGAGCCCTCTCTTAGCCAGGCACTGTTGCAGGCATAGGCCCCATACTAAGCTCAGGATCTTAT